TCCTCCCTCCTCCTGCTCCTCCTCCACCTCCTCTCCTCCACCTCCTCCCTCCTCCTCCTCCTCCTCCTCCTCCTCCTCCTCTCCTCTCCTCTCCTCTCCTCTCCTCTCCTCTCCTCTCCTCTCCTCTCCTCTCCTCTCCATCTCTTTTCCTTACCTCCTCCTCCTCCTCCTCCTCCTCCTCCTCCTCCTCCTCCTCCTCCTGGGCTGGGATCAGCTCCACCCCCGGCAGCTGCGCTGGCTGCCGAAGAGCTACAAGGAGCGTTTCCTGGACGTGCTGAGGTGCTGGGAGCTTTCGCCCGGCGAGAGCTCCCTTTGGCTCATGCTCATCGCTTTCTTGCCCAAGGCGGGGCCAGCAGGCGGATTGAGGCCCATCATCCTCAACTGCATCTGGATGCGGCTGTGGTCGAGGATGCGCCAGCCGCTGGTCGCGGAGTGGGAGCGCAGGCTGGAGGGCAGCTTCTACTGGGGCGGCGCTGACAGGACGTGTGATCGCGCTGGTCACGTCCACAACTTGCTGGCCGCCTTCTGCGCCCAGCAGGACGGCATGGCGGCGGGCACCGCGGCCCTCGACCTCAGCAAGTACTACGAGTACGTCTCCCGCAACATCTTGCTGAGGGAAGCGCGGGCCACGCGCTTCCCGCTGCCGCTGCTGAAGGCTCTGTGCTGCGCCTACCGCCTGCCGAGGCGCGCGAGGTTCGCGGGCGCCCTCGGCATCGCCATCCGCGCCAATGGCACGATTGCCGCAGGATGCTCCTGCGCGCTCGGGCTCGCGAAACTGATGGTCCACACCCTCTTGGTGGAGCAAGCCCGGCGCTTCCCCTTGGTGCGGTCGCAGTCGCTGGTGGACGACCAGCTGCTGCAGGCGCTCGGCACCGTGGATCTTGTTGCCGCTCAGCTGCCCGCCGCCCTGGCCTTTGTGGTAGAAGGCTCGCAGGCCCGGAAATCGAAGGTCAACTGGGGCAAGACGGGTTGGCTCACGGCCGACAGTGCGCTCGCTGCCCGACTCGAGGCCGCTTGGGCCGGCGAGATTGAGCAGAGCCGAGGGTTGCGATGCCTCGGCGGTGACGGCTCTGACGGCGTCAGGAGGTCCGTTGTCGAGCAGGACAAACGCCTGGCTGAGGCGCGGGTTGCTGCCCAGCGTGTCCATGTTCTTCGGGAAGCCGGCGCAGCCGTGGAGCGCATCCACCGCGGATCCCCCACCGCCATTGCGATTTGGGGCTCGGCCGTCACGGGGCTGGCCGACAACAAGCTCCATGGGCTACGGGTCGGCGCCCTTCGTTCGGAAGGTCGACTTCCCGCAGGTGCCAACGTAGGACTGAGGCTCCGATCGATGTACAAAGCATTCTGGAGGGACCCCGCGGTCGTCCACGTTTGGGAGGTCATGCATGCTTGGGCCATGTGTGTCGAGACCTCCCTTCCAGCCCTCTCGGTCTTGGAAGCGGTGCTTGAGCAGTCTCGCGGCATTCTGAAGTCCAGGGCCCCCTGGAGTCAGTGCAGCAACCCTGCCCAGGCCCTCCACCTCGTGCTTGCCAGAATAGGGGCCAGCATGAGGTCAGCCACGGAACTTGTCGGGCCAGGCGGAGAGGTGGTCGACCTCAGGTTTTTCTCCCCCGGTAGGGCGGTGGCGGCGGTGAAATACATGGCAGTCGCTGCCGACGATATTGTGTCCATCAGTAAATATAAGTGCTGGCGCTCTGTTCTGAATTGGAGACCTCTTGATAAAATCTTGTTCGGGAAGCCGGGGCTGGGACTCAGTCGGCACGGCAGGAACCTTGTTCGCAGCCTGGTCTCGGGGACCCACTGGCCTCAAGCGCGTTTGCACCGCCACGGGCGGTCTATCTCGGACCAGTGCAAACTGTGTGGCTGTGTAGGCACTCTCTTCCATAGGGGGTTCGACTGCCCGTGCTCTGCTGGCCTCAGGCGCGCGGACATGCCTAATTCGCTTGGTGTCGCAGCCAGCAGAGTGAGCAAGCTGGGTGCTGACGAGGCCGAGCTTTTCTCGCGTTGCCTCTTCCCCTCCCCCGGGTATTGTTTTGGCCGACCTGAGGCTCCTGAGGAGCACTGGGTCAGGTTTGTGGGCGCCCATCCTGGGTGGCTCTGGGGGGGGCCCATCTTCGTGGACGGATCGGCCTTCAGCACTAAGCACGGCTCTTGTAGACGCGCGGGCTGGGCGGCCGTGCAGGCGGACCAAGCCGGCAATTTTGTTGCTTGCATGTATGGGGTGGTTCCGAGGGCTTGGGGGCCCGAGCAGTGGGCGCGGGACGGGGAGGATTACGCGTTTCACATGTTGGCTCGGTTTTCGGAGCCTCCGTCCGAAGGTAATTCAGGCGTGCCGCTTGAAGTGTTCAGTGATTGTGCTGGCTCTGTGGGTTGCGCCATTAATTCGT